CGCTTTCAACAGCCTAGAAAGCACTTCTAAGCTAAGAATAGAAAGGTATGGGGAGAGTGGACAGCCATATCTTAAGCCACGAGAGGGAGAGAATGACTTACTTCGGGTGACGTTAATGAGAATGGAAAAAGTCGGAGAGGAGATGCAATGAAAAATCAAATTGCAGAACGCTTCAGAGAATCCGAGGAGAGTGTTTCAGATGGCTTTGATATAACATATTTGTTTTTGGTAAAAGTGAAATTCATTAAGTTAAAAAGCAATACACCAAGAACCACCCAGACCACAGTCATACAACCAACTAGCTAGAACATGAGAAATAGAGTTTTGAACTTTATTAATAAACTACCAGAAAATATAGTTAAAATGATGAACTTCAAACTTTACATCCTCAAACTAACATGACATGTCTTGTGGAGGAATTAAACCTAGTCTGACTATTTAAAAAGTAATTAAGACCCGACAATCGGATTGGAGGACAATGTTCTAAGACCCAACTCTCTAGTGCATCGAAGAGCCAAAAGAACTGCCATGGCCTCAACAAAAAGATGGGAATAATGAGGCTCCCCAATGAAAGAATCAACAACAAGAAACTCTAAACTACAACTGGCAACTAAGAAAGCATCATGAACCTTGTTCGCAAAACTATAATCTGATCTTATTATGGAAGAATTATCCTATGAAGGCGTTGGATGACAAGATGATAGAACTCCTAGAAGATGGATCGAGTTCGGCCCAACATGCACCCAACTAATAATCCATGAACCAACCTCAATAGGGGTTCCAACGATGACAGAAGCTCGATCTACCTAAGTTTAATGGTACTAACTTGGACAGTTGGCTCCTCCAGATTATGAAATACTTTGAGCTATAGAAAATACCCAAAGAGCAATGAGTATTTATGGCGCGCTTAAGTTGCGAAGGGAAGGTCATTAAATCGTACTGTTGGTATTGGGACCTCCAACCGGCTTTGACATGGAGGTAGTTCATTTCGACGATGGATAGCAGGTTCAATGGAGTGACTAGGGGTGTTAATTTTGACCCCAACCCACTTGACCCACCCATACCCACCCACTTTAGTAAATGGTCATTATGGGTCGAGTGACCCAATTGGGTCAAGGAAAAAGGGTCAGGGTTGCGATGAGGGTACCCATGAGTTGCAGTTAACAATAATTATCTATCTAATTAGCTTTTAGGGTTTGATGCAAGTGTTAAAGAAGTTGGAAAATTTTGAGTAACTTTCAGTGGCTATAGCGACTGGTACCACCAATCTTGTTGTCATTGGTATGTCCATCCCGATTTTGTTCTTCTTCCTCTTCTCATCACCACCACTGCCCAATACTACTGATATAGATTTCAGATCTATTTCCTCCTCTTCCCTTCTTATTATTCTTATCACCGCCATTGGCCAATACTACCAATATAAATTACAGATATACTGCTCCTCTTCCCCTCTTCTTCTTATTATTCTTATTGCCGTCGCCGACCAATACTACCAATTTAGGTTTCAGATCTACTTCCTCCTCTTCCCCTCTTCTTATTATTCTTATCGTCGCCACCAGCCAATACCACCGAACATGTTCTGATCATCCAACGGCCCGGGTCGATGATGGGAAACAGTGGTTTTGAAAAAGCATCATTTTCCACCGTTGATCTTCCTCGTTGGCCCGAGGCATCTATGCCTCCTTTGGGGACATTTAGGAGCCCTCGCCCCACCATGTGGAGGTGGTTCCACTGCCTGTCTTTGGGTGCGGAGGGGTTCGATGGACACCAAACCCACTCCCTCCTACTGCCACTCACCCACCAAGCATCCAGACACTTTCTGATCACCCATCAGCCCGACGACCCGGGTCAATGGTGGGAAACAGTGGTTCTGTAAAAGCATCGTTTTCAACTGTCAACCTTCCCCATTGGCCCAGGGCATCTCTGCCTCCTCTGAGAACGTCAAGGAAACCTCTCCCCACCTTGTGGAGGTGGTTCCACTGCTCGTTTACCCCCCACACTCCCCTTTGGGACCACTTCTCCAAAATGGCAGAATCACCCGAAGGCCGCTACAGCAGGTGTGGAGGGGTTCGGTGGACACCAAACCCACTCCATCCTATTATCACTCACCCACCGAGCATATTGACAGCTTTCAATCGGCCATCGGCCTAACGGCCCAGGCCAACGGAGAGAAACGATGGTTTTGATAAAGCACAATTTCCCACGATCGGCCTACCTCGTTGGCCTGGGGCATCTCCACTTCCTTTGGGGACATCCAGGAGCCCTCTCCCCATCACATGTAAGTGGTTCCATCGCTCATCTACCCCTGTGCCCCCCCCTCTCCGGGACGCTTCTAGAAAATGGCAAAATCACCCATAGGCCGCTCCGACAAGTGCGGAGGGGTTCGATGACCACCAAACCCACTCCATCCTACTGCCACCCACCGAGCTTCCCGACACCTTCCGATCGCCCATCGTTTCGATGGCCCGGGCCGATGGTGGGAAATGGTGGTTTTGAAAAAGCATTGTTTTCCACCATCGACCTTCCATGTTCGGTCGGGGCATCTCTGCCTCCTTTATGGACGTGTAGGAGCCCTCTCCCCACCCCGTGGAGGTTGTTCCACCGCCAATACCACCGATCTAGATTTTAGATCTACTTCCTCTTCCTCCCCTCTTCTTCTTTCTCTTTTTATCGCTGTTGTTGGTACCACCGATTAAGTTTTCTAACTCTTCCTTCTCTCCTCTTCTTATTCTGGCATTGGGCCAGATCTAGGATGGCATGGCTGCCAATTATAGGAACTAGAGCAGAGGTGTTTTTTATTTTTGCAATTTTACATTTTTTATTATATATTAAAATTGCATCATTTTCTATATTTTTTGGTATTAGCTGAAGTTTATGATTGTTTTGATTTTTATATTTTAATTATTTTTCTGTAATTTATGATTTTTTATTGAAATATATAAATTTTGAAAATTTTATGATTTTAGGTATTTTATGCAATTCTTATTTTTATCTTTTTTTGTTTTTTTATAATTTCTCAGTTGAAATATATATTTATTTTGATTTTTTATCAATTTGTGTATTTTATTCAATTTCTATTTTTTGAAATATATATTTTAAAATTTCCTTGTTTTCTACAATTTTATTGTTTTTTTCTGTGATTTTTTACAAATTTGGTGTTTTTATTATTTCTTCGTATTTCTTTGTCTTTTTTCTATAATTTTTTAATATTTATAGATTTATTTGGTATAATATTTATATTTTCTTAATATTTGCATTGGGTTAATGGGTCATATGGGTGGGTCAGGGTCAAGGTGGGTCGTGATCCACAAATACCCAATAGATATGGGTGACAATGGGCCAATGGGTCAATATGGGTGGGTTGGTACTCAATCCACACCCAGCCCAACCCAACCCAACCCACCCATTTGCCACCCCTAGGAGCGATGGGAGCAAACCATGCAGGTCGGGTTCACATCCAAAACTGAGGTAACACCCGATTCCCATAGTGGATGAGATGATTGATGAACTTCAGGGGGTATGGGTGTACAAAGCTTGATTTTCGATCTAGTTACCATCAGATAAGGATGAAGAAGGAAATGAATATAAGACGACATTCAGAACTCATGAAGTGGCAGTATGAATTCTTAGTAATGCCATTTGGATTGAGTTGGGAATGGACCATAGAAGCAGATAGAGCTTTCGATCAGTTGAAGAGTGCCATGACTGCTGCTGTCGGACTTCTGCACCACAGTGTAGGAGCAGTTCTCTCACAGATGGGCCGGCCCATAGCTTATTTCAGCAAGGCCTTTCAAGGGAAGAACCTTAACCTCTCAACCTACGACAAGGGGCTGTTGACCTTAGTCTTGGCAACCCAAAAATGGAGGCCTTATTTGTTAGGGAGCAATTTCATTATTAAAACTGATCACTGGAGTCTTGCATACTTGTTGGACCAGAAGTTACATACTCCTTCACAGCAGAAGTTGTTGGGCCTTGAGTTCGAGGTACACTAACCATGTTTCTGACGCTCTCTCTAGACGCCAAGACAGTGAGTTGAATCATGAAATGCCATATCAAGGCCCATCCCCACCTGCTGGATCGAGAGACGGAAGGATGAAAGAACCCAGGACCAGGACCCATTCCCGCAGAAAATGATGAAGAATAATATTAAGGAAGGTAAGAAGCCAGGACCTCAATATGAAATCAGACGAGGTCTCATCTGGAAGAATGGTCACGTTATGTTGAGTGTCAAGGCTTAAGAAAAAGTTGGGTGCCATCACTGCCATCCTTGGACATCGCATCACTAAACCGGGTTATCACGTAGTGATATGGAGGTTCTAGCTAGACTTCTAGTACAATGACAGTGGGGAGAGATGATACAGCTCCCAGAAGATGGATCGGGTTCGGCCCAACACCCTCTTCCCCTTTTTGGCTTCGGCTATACAGGGGGTTGATTAGAACTTTTGATACAAAAGAAAAATTAAGGAGTATAAAAATGCAACGAGCAGAAACATATCAAGAGGCAGGGTACTTCCTCCGTAGGCCCTAAGCCGCTAATGCACCATTTTTAGCCTTCTTCGTAGGGTGTTGGTAGCGGGCCCTCAACCCAAGTCTAATCTTTAGTATTGGCCGATTACCCCAAAAAAAACATCTTTATGGGAAATTCAGGTCCTGTTTGGTTCATGGGAATAGGGGTCATAGGAATATTAATTGTTCAATACTCGCCTTTATTATAATTAATTAAGTTTCAGAAAAATGTATGGGTTGGCTTCCTTTTATTCATGCTTCGAGCCCAGGGCTTTCACATGAGACAGAATGTTAGAGAAAAAAATAATATATTCAGTGAATAAGCTTAGTAGCTTATAAACTTTTAACTTAAGGCTGTGTTTGGTTTGAAGGAAAATATAGGGAAAAGAAGAGAAAGCTAGAGAAAACTTTTCCCTGTATTTTCCTTCAAACCAAACATAGCCTAAATGGTTCCTTGACAATGGCTTTTGAAACACTTATTTTTAAACCCCAAACATTACTCTAGTTGGAAGGTGGCCACCTTCAGACTTCATTAACAATAATCAAAAGGAAAATCATCTAACACAAGGGTCGACTCAGTCGGCCTTGCCTCAAACCCAAAGCTTACAAAGCTTGCTCTTTCTCACCAACTGAAACCCGCCCAACAAAAATAAAAGCATTACAACAAAACACAGAATCAACTTGTCTTAGTCTATGAAGGAACAACCAAACTCAAAAGCTCTTCACGAAGAAATTTTGTTAAATTCCTGGGAATGGTGGCCCCCTAAACAAAAACACATGTAGCATGGTTGAAACAACAGGAAAGAGAGACAATTGTCCAATATATCCTTCAATCGTATGGTATGCTATGCTCTCTACCCAATTGATGAAGATGGTGATGAACGAAGAGGATAAAGAAATATGCCATCTCATCATGCACCAGTAATGTAATTATCAACCAAATCATGCCAATGCTATCTCAGAATTCATCAACAGTTGGTCCAATTAATGTAATTTCTTGAAACCGATCTGCAGATGATGCCTTGCAGGTCATAAGCTCATGAGATATACGTTGCATGGTAGGTCGAGATKGTGGATTAACATTTAAGCATGCCAATGCTAACTTAACAACATAGAGCACTTCCTCTGCAACTTGAGGCAGCATGGGAAATGAGAGCCGTTGATCCAAGATATCTTTCAATAAAATAGCTTTTGAAGAAGAAGATGATGGTGATGATTCCAATATGTAAGCAATAAGTTCTGTTGGATGCCTTCCCATTATCACCTCTAGTGTTAGCACCCCAAAGCTATACACATCACATTTTTCAGTCGCCTTACTTGAATAAGCAAGCTCTACATGCAATACAATAGCCAAATCACGATTCCAATAGACAAGAAAAAACTATTTCTAATATAGAATTAAAAAAAAAAAATTACCTGGAGCCATATATCCATAAGTCCCAGCAAGTGAAGTCCAGTTGGATGAATCAGGCTTGAGAAGTCTAGCGGTGCCAAAATCAGAGATATGTGCTTCATATTCCCGATTTAACAAAATATTGTTACTTGATAAATCCCGATGCACAATTGGTGGTATGCAATCATGGTGCATGTAAGACAAAGCGCCAGCAATACCTTTAATTACATTCAACCTCTTACTCCAATCGAGTTCCACTGCTTTCTCCAAATTACTTAACATCTTCGCCAAGCACCCTCTCTCTAAATATTCATAAACCAAAAATGAATATCGAGCATGTGAACAGAAACCGTAGAGTTTCACAATATTGCGGTGTCGGATTTCTGTTAATGCCTGAATCTCATTTTCGAAAGATTTTAGATCAACCATTCCATCTTCATCTTTATCTTCATCTTCATTTAAAGCTTGATGAAGCTTCTTGATGGCTACCACCTGACCAGTTCGCAACTCTGCTCTAAACACCCTTCCGTATCCTCCGATACCAATACAATATTTTTCATCAAAGTCTTCTATTGCCTCAATGATATCACGGAAAACCATTCTTCCATCATGATTCCATATCTGAAATAGATCCTCACTGTCTGTAGTTTCTTTGTTTTGATCCCCAATATTTCTCTGCTTCTGATGATGAAAACTAGAAATAATTCCAAGAAATGCCAACAGAAGAAGTATCATACCTAAAACAGAGAGTATGCTAATGATCCACACTTTGTTTCCCATTTCAGATTTCCTTTCTATAGATTTCGCACATGGTTGTAGGCCACTTGCATTGCCACACAATGCTTTGTTATTCCTTAGTGCTTCTAATGGAGCATCTTGAAAGGCTCTATTGTTAGGCAGGGGACCTTCCAACTCATTGAATGATATATCAATGGATTCCAAACTGATCAAATCACTAAATGAGGAAGGAATGGAACCAGAGAGAGTATTGTGAGAAAGATTTAAACTTTCCAAGCTGTGCAGTTTCCCAAGTTGGTAGGGGATCTTCCTACTGAGTTTATTATCACTGAGGTCCAATAAACGTTGCAAGAAAACCAAATTGCCAATTTCAAAGGGAATGCTTCCATCAAATTTGTTTCCACGCAGATTCAAGTATAACAATTTGACACAATCCCCTATTTCTTTCGGTATTGGACCACTCAAATAGTTTGTTGACAGGTCCAGAGTTTCTAGGTTAGACAACCTTCCAAATTCTGAGGGCAATTGACCAGAAAGTTTGTTGTCACTCAATTTCAATACAAATAAACCAGTCCTCATTCCCAATTCCTTTGGAATCTCACCCTCTAGATTATTTGAAGAAAGGTCAAGTTGTTGTAGTTTAGGTATCTTCCCAAACTCAGGTGGTATTTTTCCAGCAATCATATTCCCCGACAATTTTAAACTTGTTAAATTTTGACACTCAACCCAACTTTTTGAGAGATCACCATGAAACCTGTTATGGCTCAAATCTATGTAATTCAAATTTGGATAGACACCAAAATCTTCAGACATGCTTCCAATTAGTTGGTTGTTTTCAAGTCGCACTCTAAACAATCTTGTGCAGTTTTTAAAGCTTTTTGGAATGGGGCCAATGAAATGATTGTTACATGCAGAAAAATTTTGAAGTGATCCATTCATGCATATTTCTGGTGGCAAATAACCAAATAAATTGTTGTCACATAATTGTAAATCTTCCAACTTTGTCAAATTGCCTATCTCTTGAGGAATGGGACCTGAAAGTAGATTTTCATTAAGGTAGAGAGTGGTTAGGCTACTTAGATTACCTAAAGATGCGGGGATGGAGCCACTGAGGTTATTAATAGACAATGCTAAATCAATGAGATGCTTCAAATTTCCTATCTCTTGGGGAATGGGACCTGAAAGTTGATTTTTGAAAAGGGAGAGAGTGGTTAGGCTACTTAGATTACCTAAGGAGGCAGGGATAAAACCACTGAGGTTATTAATAGACAATGCTAAATCAATGAGATGCTTCAAATTTCCTATCTCTTGGGGAATGGGACCTGAAAGTTGATTTT